GCCCGTGTCCGGAATGTACATCATCTGGATATAAACCGCTGTCGGCTTTCTCATCCAAGTTTTTATGTCCTTTTCAATCATTTAGGCCCCATTCACACTAAGCGTTTTCCGCCGCGATATCGCGCAGTTTTGATGCGTGATATCGCGAGAGGTCGCCGGCTAATGCTATTCAATGGAGCTGTCTTAGCTCCATGTTGCGGTCGCAAGACGCTTCTACGGGACCCTTTTTTCTGCAGATTTTGCTTTTTTCTAATGGAGCCCAACGGAGAAGCTCGCGCTACCGTCGCTGGATCGTCGCTGCAAAAGGTATGCCGCTTAGTGTGAATGGGGCCTTAGGTGTATTTAAACCCCAAACACATAAAACAAACAAGTGCTCATGTTCCTGTAATGTCCCAAAATCCTTTTTTCTGCTTTCAGATAAAATTATTCTAAAACTTTTTTATGCACCATAACGCCTCATTAATAATTTCCTAACTCGATTAAAGTGAACAGAAGCCTAATAGACATAACAGAAACATTTAATATTTACCTATTGTCCCCAAGCAGCCTTCAGTTTCTGCTTCCCTGAACTTCCTGTTTGATGGTGACCACTGCCAGTCACTTCCATTGAAGGAGGGGGCCAGAGACGGGTCTCTTTTTGTGCTTTTAGTCGTCTTCAGCTCCCTGTGTGTGTGTTGTCATAGGCAGCGTGTGCATGTATTCCCTGTAGTCTGATGCACGGAGCATGCAGACCAAAGGGTTCCTCCATGAGACCCCGCAATTGTATGAGAACGTGATGGTTCACTGGTTAGGTTGAGGTGGGATCGGCTTCCCTGACGAGATGAGTCTTTAGAGAAAGCCTAAAGGCAGTCAAGGTGGGAGATAGACGGACCGGTTGGGGTAAAAAGTTCCAGAGGATGTGAGAGGCTCTAGAGAAGTCCTGGAGGCGAGCATGGGAGGAGTAGACAAGGGAGCTGGAAAGCAGGAGGTCTTAGGAAGAGCGGAGGGGACAGTTAGCGTCATACTTTCTCAACTTTCTCAAACAATTCACCCCCACACACAGCTCCCTCATGTGTCACTGGCCCCTCCCTTTTAGATTGTAAGTCCTCAGGGGCAGGGTCCTCCTTACCATCTTGTCTTGAATTGTATTGTGATTGTAATTGGCCGATCCCAGAACAATACACAATGACTTTTGTATTCGGGGAATGTTTGCTGATCCCGGAGTTCAGTTTTAAAGTTTAAATTAATTAATAATGAAACTAAACCCAAAAAACGGACACAAATATTAAACATTGTCTCTTCTTTGTTTTCTTCCCTTTTTAGGATATTTAACGGTCACCATCGAGCCGCTTCCTCCCGTGGTGGTGGGAGACGCGGTGACCCTAAAATGCAACTTCAGGACGGACGGGCGGATGCGGGAGATCGTGTGGTACCGGGTAAGGATTCCCACGCGTGTGTATTACAGCTGGCGTTATGTTGTGTCTCCTCGCTGTGCGCGCTCAGCCTGCTCCCGGCCCGCGCATCCTCCGCCGAGGCGCCTTCCAGAAGAGAGACGCAGAGATGTATTTCTAACGCTTGTCATGTATAAAACATCATAAAGATGTAACGGGCCGTCTGCTCCGCGTGCTGGAAATCTACCAGGCTTCCAGCAAACTAAACCACACGACAGTCACCATCATGACTGCTCTGCAACTACGAGTGACATCACCGCTCTCCACCAATGAGGTCGTTCCTGTAAGATATAACATCTCTGGGGAAGTGGTGAGGCCATTCCTGTATAATTTATCTTATATCTGGAGGGCGGTGATGTCACTCCTGTGTAATAAAACTCACATCTGGGGAGCCGTGATGTCACTCCTGTATAATCTGGATAGTGGTGATGTCACTCCTGTATAATACATCTGGATAGTGGTGATGTCACTCCTGTATAATATATCTGGATAGTGGTGATGTCACTCCTGTATAATATATCTGGAGAGCGGTGATGTCACTCCTGTATAATATATCTGGAGAGTGGTGATGTCACTCCTGTATAATAAAACTCATATCTGGTGGGCGGTGATGTCACTCCTGTATAATATAATATATCTGGATAGTGGTGATGTCACTCCTGTGTAATATATCTGGATAGTGGTGATGTCACTCCTGTGTAATATATCTGGAGAGCGGTTGATGTCACTCCTGTATAATATATCTGGATAGTGGTGATGTCACTCCTGTATAATATATCTGGAGAGCGGTGATGTCACTCCTGTATAATATATCTGGAGAGTGGTGATGTCACTCCTGTATAATATAACTCATATCTGGTGTGAGGCGATGTCTTCCTGTATAATATATCTGGATAGTGGTGATGTCACTCCTGTGTAATATATCTGGATAGTGGTGATGTCACTCCTGTGTAATATATCTGGATAGTGGTGATGTCACTCCTGTGTAATATATCTGGAGAGCGGTTGATGTCACTCCTGTATAATATATCTGGATAGTGGTGATGTCACTCCTGTATAATATATCTGGAGAGCGGTGATGTCACTCCTGTATAATAAAACTCATATCTGGAGGGCGGTGATGTCACTCCTGTATAATATAATATATCTGGATAGTGGTGATGTCACTCCTGTATAATATATCTGGATAGTGGTGATGTCACTCCTGTGTAATATATCTGGATAGTGGTGATGTCACTCCTGTATAATATATCTGGAGAGCGGTGATGTCACTCCTGTATAATATATCTGGAGGGCTGTGATGTCACTCCTGTATAATGCATCTTATATCTGGAGAGCGGTGATGTCACTCCTGTATAATATATCTGGAGAGCGGTGATGTCACTCCTATATAATATAATATATCTGGAGAACGGTGATGTTACTCGTGCACAGTGGTGGGAGTGCAGGGGGTGCGGCCTGCATCCAGGTGACACCCCTCTAGAAAGTTGGGCAAGCGGTCATGGACTGAGACCCCCGACAGTGTCAAGAGAGAGGAGGGAACCCGGCGGCATACCTCATCCTGCTGGGTGAACATCCCCTCCTCTCCCATCACCAAGATGGCAGGCGTCAATCAGATGGGCGTGCACGTGCGAGGTGAAGTCACACGTGTTGACGACACGGCGGGGTGTCACCCGGTCTGGAGACCAGGTGACAGCCTCAGGACCCCCCTGTGTCCCTCCTGTATAATACTGTATATATCTGGAGAGCAGTGATGTCACTACTGTATATATCTGGAGAGCAGTGATGTCACTCCTGTATAATATATCTGGAGAGCGGTGATGTCACTCTGTATACTATATCTTGTATATCTTACAATGTGTCATGTGATCCGGTGTGCCGTACTGTAGCTGCTCAGGCTGAGTGGCTCTGACCCCTGGCACATCGCCTGCCCGCCCCCATGCCACCCCAGTACGGCGCTGAGTGGGTCCTGGTAAGATTAGATTAACCCAGTTTCCCAAATCTCTTCCGGGAGCCATAAATCCTCTCCCACGCGCGGATTCATCGTAGTCCGGCGAGGCAGACGGGAGACAAGAGTCCCGGGATTGAAATGGGAAATCCAGGACATGTAATATTTACTAAAGGGGCTTGTAAGGGGCCGCCGTCTCTCTTAATGTGCGAGCGCGTTGTCAGAGGTGCGGAGGAGAGACGATGGAACGCATGTGCACACATAATGTCATTACTTCCTGGGAGGATATGGATTTTTTATCTTATTTTATTTCCAGGCCTTCTGCAGTGAAAAGTATTGTATTCCGGTTACCTGTATTATTTATTTTTTGGGTAGTAACTACCTTTTTCAGCAGACGCTTGCTCCCACCTCCTCATTCCTCGCCTAGGTGAGGATAATGTCACCCTCAGTCCATGACGCAGCCCTTGGGATATGACACGCCGGCTGAGGGCGATGATATCCTCAGCTAGGTGAGGAATGTTGATGCGGGACCAAGCACCTTCTGAAAAAGGTTAAAAAAATAAGAATTTCACAGGCCGTTATTGATATCTTTCTCCTCATTTAGATGCAGGCCAAGCTGCCCAGCCACAGTGACAGTGGTTGAGATTAATCACATGACACTCCTGGGGGGAGGGGAGGGGGTTCGGGGGGGTGCATTGGTTACAATTGTCAACTTGTATTCACCTTTTTTGAAGTTGGGCTTCATTTTGTTTGTCATGCATTTAAATATATATGCAGCACAGGGCACTGAGGGGTTGTCGCATATGTACTGGGGACTAGTTACTGGGGGGTAAACTCCCACGTGTTGGAGACTGTGGGTATTAAGCATGTGCTGGGGACTGGCCACCAAGGGGTACACACGTACGTCGGAGACTGAGGGTAATAAGGGGTTAAAGCAAAGCATGTGCTGGGGACTGGCCACCAAAGGGGTAACACACACACACGTACGTCGGAGACTGAGGGTAATAAGGGGTTAAAGCATGTGCTGGGGACTGGCCACCAAAGGGGTAACAAACACACACGTACGTCGGAGACTGAGGGTAATAAGGGGGCGCTGTTTTGGTAAGGAAGGGTAAATCGGGGTAATAGAAAAGAAAAAGTGCAAAGTACATTAAGCCGGATTTATGGATAGTAGGTGAAAAAGTTAGGGGGCCAGTTTCCACAATAAGAAAAAGTAATAATTATATACCATTTTCCACCGTTACAACATAAGGAGGGGGACAGAACTATTCTACACAATGCGTGCCACTACCCCACCCAGCCTGAGCTGTCCCCGTTAAAGAGACCCTGTCACCAGACCAGTCATTACAACAACCGTCTTCCCATAAGACCATATGTGCATACAATGGATTGCATCCATAGTTACTTAATTAGTCAGGTTGAACAAAGACACAAGTCCATCGAGTTCAGCCTATATATATATCTATATATAGATATATATATAGATATAGATATGGGGGGAAAAAAAGAGAAAAGCCTAAACAGAAGGCTATGCCCACAATTACCCACTGTTGATCCAGTTAATTCCCTATAACAGCCTTCCTTATGTAGACATCATCACCACCTTGGAAGTGATGTAAGCGGTCCCAGCTGTTGTGAAACTACAAGCCCCATGAGGGATTGCATAACTGACAGCCACAGGCTCCCAGAGGCAGAGTCATGTTGGGATTTGTAGTTAAAGCACAGCCGGAGGGCCGGAGCTGCCCACCCCTGCTCTGTAGTATTGACCTCCTTCCCCACCAGCTACAGAAAAGGGTATGTATGTAAGATGATGGGCCAGGGAAGCTGGGCAAGGGCAGATAGTAATTAGACACACTCAGGAGAGGAGAGGGCTATGGTGTGCAAGAAGGGAGAAGCTTTGCTGCAGAATTGACTTTCCTCCGTTAGTCAAATTTGCTACCAAGTTCAGAGGCACACGGCAAGTGTATACAAAATTATTTAGGGAAAGTACCGTATTTTTCGCTCCATAAGACGCACTTTTTTCCCCCAAAAGGAGGGGGGAAAAGTGCCTGCGTCTTTTGTACCACCTAGATATGAGTGTAACCTATATCATGGTCTCAGAGGTGGAGTAAGCTTTTTCACTCCTTCCTTTTTACTCCAACTGGCTTCATCCAAAACCGGACCACCCATGAGGCAACCCAAGCAGGAGCGTAGTGCCTGGTGGATGTCCAGGGGCCCCAGCTACAACCCAGCTCGCGGTATACTGAGCCTAGGATGACGGGAGGACGCTAGCTTGTGTACTCCCGTTACCCTAAGGAGAACTATGGGGAAAAACACTGACCCCGTAGTTCTCCTTTAATGCATTCTCTGCATTTGGGTAAAAACGGCCCAGCACCTTTCTTTCCCCCCCACACTTACCTGTCCGCTACGCTTGTCCCTGCCGCCGATCCCGAAAACGATCCTCCGTTCCCTGAACTTCCAGGTTGCGGGGGGAGGATACTGATGGCAGATGAGCCATAGGCTCCTTCTGCTATCAATCAAAGAGAGAAGGGGCGTGGCCTGCCACAGGGCTGGGTGTGTCTATGTCTATAGCTTCCACGTGTTGCTTGTTTCAGATCTGCACAGCTGATGTTATGATAGCAGGGCCGGGGATTCTACATATCTGTGGATAGAAGTTCATATTGTGTTTTTTTTAATATATTGTACAATTGGTAATTATCAATTCTACATCACTGCAAAAAAAAAACCAACAACTGCTTGGAGGTAATTGAATTACTGGAGTCTTATGTAAATGCTAACAATGTTTTTTTGTAAAGGGTAACGACATCAAACAACAAGATTAATAAAACCGCAGGACGCGAAACAATGCGTTTTTCAGTTGTTGTTCTTTTATATTCCCCATCTGATGACCTTCAGTATATTCATATTTCTCCGGAAGTCCTCGTCTCGCTGATGTTTATTCCGGGAGAACGGAGAGATTTGCTGGGTTTTTATTTTTCCCCGAGCTAATTGGCTTCTGCACCGTGTAACATTGTGAACGTTTACTTATGGCCGCACC